GTGTCAGGCGCAATGTAATGCCTCGCACTTCTTGTATAGTGCCGATTTGCCGTGTTCTTGGGGGAAAAAACCCGACATAATCAAAAAGTGAACAGCAAACAAAAGACCCAGACACTTCAAGCGATTGCAGAGCGAGAGGGAAATGCATTTACGCCGGAGAAATCGGCCCTAAATCCGCCCAGGGATAGTAAACAGCAACATTTTAGTGATCTGTTCTAACTCGTGTGCCAACTGACAGCGTGTACCAAAAAGGACTAGGGGTGCTGATAATTTTGTTTCCTATCCAATGCAGGTTATGTTATTGTGATGATAGGATGCACTTTTGAACGCACTGCTAAATAAAGTTTCTTTCTGTCCCTCCAACTTTAAAAAAAAATTGGATAACGGCTTTTGAAAGATCACGCGAATAGAAGACTATCTTGCTGGTAGAACTGGGGAAAAGAGCGATGAACTGAAACAAGAGGAGCAAATATGATACCTTTGGCTAATGCAGATTGCTGCAACTAGCCCTTAACACAAAACTATAGAAAATTGCATTGAACAAAATGGCGACCGTGCAGGAGTCTGAAATGCAGAAGCCGAGATTTGTTAATGAACGTTTCTCAACGTTGATATTGCATTGCTGCAAGAAAACAAAAGGATCGAGTTTAATGCAGGATGTTTTCATTTTGTGCACGCAGAAATGGCAGGAAGCTCAAATAATTATCCTCTGATTTTAACTTTAACACAGTAACTCTTTATGTCAACGCTCAGTTTCTGTAAGACTTATTCTAACCGTTCTGCACATTTTGAAGTTTCGGGAGAACGCTAATGTTTGAATCAGGAATTTGAACAGGTGACAACAACATAACATCAACACAATTGCCGGTTCAGTCTAAAATGTAGCAACAGTTCAAATACTGTCCTGTCTGCTCAAGGTAGTAATACAAGTCTTTCCATCTTTTATCTCTTTAGAAACGGTTCAGAACTAACGGACAGAAAACGCTTGACAGAGAGGAGAACAAATCGCTGACAAAGAACGCTTTCCGTTTCGCCAGCGTCGTTAAGACGACAAGGAAGAATTCCTTAGATAATAACTCCCACTTCAAAGACTTCTGCCCTGAATAGAGAATGTACCATCCTTTTTATTCGGCCACAAGAGTTTTCACTAAAGAGGACTCGACTGTTTGGTTATTTTTCGCTGTGTTTATTTTTCGCCATTGACTGGGTACTTGTATAAAATAAACAACAAGACAATTACTAAAAGACGAATTCCCAACTTATCTGCTCACAGGGCCGGGATCGAACCTGCTGGGCTCCCTCTCCGAGGAGCCAAGCAGATTGATTCAGGCCATCCCTAATCCGCCTGAGAATTCCTCCCAACCTCAAAATATTAAAGATTATGATGAAGTGAAGATTGACTGTACTAACCTAGCATGAAACCAAAGGTCAACGCAAATGTATCTTAATAGAGTGTCTCGAATCTAGTGTGCCTCCTTTGAAGGCAGTTTGCTATTGCCCCGTTCATTACCATAGCGATCCTAGCGTGCGGTGCTGATGTACCATAAAAATCCTACTTTGGAATTCTAAAACCCGGCTCTTTGAACAGCCCGAGTCTGATTAGAGTCCTTGTGTCTTTTATTTTCTGTCTCATTCTTTGGGGTTTGGTTGGGGGGGGGGGGGGGGGGGGAGGTGTTGGGAGCAGGGGAGATCTCTCGACCTTTTAAAAGTTTATGGAAAGTTTAACTCGCTCCCTGATTAACTATATCAGAGAGGAAACAGGAAATAAAAACTTAATTGACAGTCTGATAACTCAAACCGTCTTTTTTTTCAGCAGGAGCTGGGGGCACTGGTATTATTTATGGTGTTACTGGAGTTTGGCATAAGTCATGTTTCGCGTGAGTTCTTTCTTTGGGGCGTCGAACCTTAAGTAACAATGAGCTGCACACCGTAAAATATAATATACGTATTATAAATTTTACATAAATATACAGACACACATATCACCATATATATACAAACTTGCTTACATATGGTCCTTAAGACGTACACATTCCGTTCTTGATGAAAAGACTGCACTAGCTCCAGACTTGGCTTTCAGTATTTAAGTATGACTTGTCTATTGCCATAGAAATCCTAACTCACCGTGAAGATTCACCGTTGCGAAGAAATACTCTTTGTAGATTTTTCTGCTTTGATGTCTCCACAAGGATATTCAGTCTTTTGAATTGTGATTGCTTGGATTACCTATAGCAACTGGATGGACATCTGCAACAAGTAAATGAAAAAATTAAGGTGAATCACTACCTATCGCAATGAATCCCATTTATAAACCTACGTCTAAAATTACTTTTCTTAATTTTCTAAGACTCCCAAAACTTTGAGAAACTGCCCGAAAGTTCATTTCCTTAATGTTATCGCTTTGCAGCAAAAGTAACACACGACATACAATCTGATTTAAAAACAGATTAAGATAAATAAAAACTTTGCTATCGGTATTTCTACTCAACTTTTATTGGTTTCATTGTTCTTCCATTGTTTCATCGCCTTTCTCTATGCTTATCGATAAAAGTTTCGGTTGCTTTCCATATCTTTCACGTGAATTTTGGATATTGTCAGAAATGGATGCCACGTCTTTTCTGAAGATGTCTGTCCTCTATTTTAATTTTCTCCTCGCGGTTTATTTTATTTTGGCTCACAAATGCTTTCTGCGCCGGATCTCGGCAAAACATTATTAAGGAAAGAAAGAAAAACTAACTTATTTAATAAAGTGTCAAGGAAGTCAGACGATCTTAGTCACTGGCGGTGCAACAGAGCAAACTGAGGAAAAGATGATTGGATTATTAATACCTTTTCACAGCTGCCCAGACTTTACTGGAATATATACGTAGTAGATTAGGCTTTCTCTGAGGGAGAAACGAATATATTAACCCCATTTTATTTATCTTGCATAGCAACCTCGTCCCCTTACTGTGCAATACGTTATATCCCCATTTGCTAGGCCCCATATCACAAAAAAAGTGGAGAAAGCAACGAGGTTACGCCAACCGCTAATGCCAAACGCTAAACTCACTGGCTGCGTTTGTGTGTGTGTGTGTGTGTGTGTCTGTCTGTTTGTTTGTGTGTGTATGTGTGTGTGTCTGTCTGTCTGTCTGCCTGTTTGTGTGTGTGTGTGTGTGTGTGTGTGTGAAGGGAGGAGGGATGTAAAGAATGGCAAGAGAAAGAGAATTATTTCATATTTCAGTCATGAATTGTTATTTGGATTCCAGTAAAGAAAAGTTGTTTGCAATTCATGAAATCCCCAAAAGATCACTATTTTGTCAAATTGAGACATTTGATTCGTCAAGTGCACCAAATGGGGATATTTGTAGTAAACTGGACCTAAATTTCTTTTGCACAATAGTGGTTTATCACTCTTCTTTCTTTTTGTTTTGAAGAAATGCTTTATGCATTGTTTAATCGCAAAAAAATCATATACATTTCTGATTATCTTCGTCATTAGATATTACCTATCCATCCATTGATACTTATCAGTTACTATCTGTATCCTTCTAACAGGTAGTAGGCAGCTGCGTGCTTTAGATTTTCATTGTAAATTTTGACAAACGGACAGTATTATTTATTTTACAAAATTTATTTTTACAAGACGCATTTACTTGTGAATTCTGACAATACGATTATAAACTATACACAGTCCATTCGTACATTGGTAAAGTACAATGTGACTTCAGTACACATTCCAACGATTGTTGCTTAAATAGTAGGGTTTCACCGTAACAATACGTCGGTCTTATAACTTCTTCACCAACTATTTTTAAAGGTTCCACAAAAGATAAACACGCTTCGCCGATGTTAGAGCTTCATGTGTTTTATTTAAAACGAAACGTGCGTGTAGTATAAATCATAAGTTCTACATTGTTTGTTGCTCCTGACGACAAAAAGAAACAGACTAGACCAATGAGTTAGCGCTTGCTCCTCAGTAGTGGTTAAATACATATGTCACGGAGATAAGACGGAACTGATGTTTCACGATGTATTTTAACGACAAATGGCTCATCTTTGAGAAATTTTAAACAGTATTTCTATTATTATCAATTTATTGCAAACCGGTACGAATGTATATCAAAACAGGGTGGAAATACAGAAGGAAAATTATTCTACATAGTCAAAACTTCCAGTTATAAAACACTATAATTTACAGAACACGCGCTAATTATTTAACATAATCCAATAAAAAAAATGTACACTGTCTTAATCGCCCTGTAATAAACACTTTGGGTCATTTATACAAAATGTGTTTTATTGTAACATTTTAAATAAATTATTTCAAGGAAAACAAAGCAGAGAAAAAATATAAACGAATTACTTAACACAGATGTACGTTGTATTCGTCTATACCTATATTCACATGTTTTTACAGCGTTATTCCGCAAAAAAAGTCTAACATCGAAAATCTAGTTTGCAGAAATGTTTTTAAAAAGTCAAAGGCTAGGCAGGCTTTTGAAGAGACAGTATCCATTTTGTTTTGGCCTACAAAGGCTTTTGTTCATTACTATTCACATCAGGTGTAGGGAATATCTGCTTTCGCCCTTCTGGCTTTCAGAAAGAATTGCAACGTACTTTCTTAACAAATAGATACAGCAGTGCATTTTCCTTCCACAAAAAAAGATAAAAACGAGAAATGAAACAATGATTTTCTTTGTACAACATTTTGTGGAAACAATACTGTATGCTTGCAGCACTTTATGTGAACGGAATTTCTGTGTTGTTCAAGACACACATTCTTGACTGTAAACTGCAACTTGTGCAAGATTACATTGGGGATACTTTCTCTTTAATATGTTATTGTCTTTTCGTATGCCAGTGCATTACATTATGTTCTTCGGCGCTAGGCCTCCAGAAACTCAAGTAGTTTCGCCAAGTCCAGTGCAGCAATGGCAATGCTAACACCATCACAAAGCATTAGTCAGTATGTTTTTTTTTCTCCCAAAAAAATTACGGATTCTTGGCCAAGTTTCTGGTTAGAGAATAGTTCTGGGGTCAGAGTTTCTATAAGAGTGCTCCCCTGGTCCCGGTGATGATGAATTGCTCGGAGGTGTTGGAATACCGCTTGCTCCTGTGCTTTGACACACATACCATTCGCTCAGGTTAGCTGCGTGGGAAGACGTGATGGGGTCAAGCTGGGAAGCTGAAGCCGGGGGGTCCCGACCTAAGTCCGAAGAAGGAGAGACCAGCGAAGGGGTGGAGGATTCGTAGCCCGAACTGGGGGGTGGAGATTTGCAGTGGACCTTCATGTGCTTGCGAAGGGAACTCGGGTGCGTGTACGATTTATCACAGCCTCTTACTTTGCAGTTATAGGGCTTGTCACTTGTGTGCACATGCGAGTGCTTTTTCCTGTCGCTGCTGTTAGCAAAACGTCTGTCACAGCCTTCAAACTCACACTTAAAGGGCTTTTCTCCTGAAAGAAATCGACAATGGGCAGAGTGATGAGTTCACTAACGTTCAGGTATTATCTTTCATTGCTAACATTGCTATCCAGTATTAAGAATGCAACTTAATCACTAACACGTATTTCAGACAAAAAAATTCCTTTTTTTAGCTACTTAGAGCAACGATATTGCAGTGGAGTATTGCAGGTACGTTCCTGCAGATCTGCTGTGACGTAATGGTTTCTGCTTGTTAGTCTTAACCCAAAGGCCCAAGAAGCAGTCACTTGCTCTAAATGACTTACAATGGATTTCTGAAACAGCGGGGAAGGGAAATAACAAACTTTTTTTGCGGTTTTCAATTATTATTCCAATGGTTATTATTCTAATGAACATTAAAATATCATTAATTCTCAATTTTGTTTTAAAAACTACGTGTCTGTGGTAAGCACAATACAGTGCAAGGCTACGTGCTTTACAACACAGACCGTTCACCGAACTCTCCAAATGTCGATTTAATATTACACCGTAATTAGCCAAACGTTCAGAAAGCCGTTAGAATAATTTGACCTTCACTTGCTAGGTTGAGACGGCCAATCAACGATATTAATGTAGTACAAGCTAGTAGTAAGTTAGTGGACCCATGGGGAAGCCCAGACTCATAAACACTGTTATTGTGCCGTGTCTGGAGCGTCCGACACTGCGAGCGTGAAGTCTGCTTGGCCAATTCCCGAGAGTTCTAAACTCCTTCTGGCTACACATTTCTCCTTCTTTACTATTAATGCTGTGTATAAAGGAGTGAGTAATATAAGATTAACTGCGACCAATCCTTGTTAGTTGTCATCTCACCAGTTAGCTCAGTCCTGGCTAAGATGAATCAGTCGAAGAAACCCTCCTTGAAATTGAATTTAAACTTTGCATCACATAACTTCGCAGAAGATGCCTACCTGGTGATAAACTCGACAAGCTGTTTGCACGTTCTAATCAATCTTTCAAAGTACATGCTAAATTCTAGATTTCGACTTCATACGGTAATATTTTATAAGTGAGGTGACAAAACTACTGAAGTCCCTGTTTACCCAGAGGCAATCTTTCCATGCTTGTTGAAATAAATAATGTAAAAGGGACGGGATTTCAATTCAATAAAACTAGCCTATAAAGGACTGAAGCCAATCAAATGGCATCAATATTTTACAACATAATTACTTTGTTAATAGAATTACTATACTTGCTATTTTTTATTTAAGAATTTAGTAACAATAGTGTGTGCAATTTTAGACTAAAAGAGAAATGCGATATTTATCATACTTAAGGTGATTAATTGCAACATATGGAGAATGTTGTTTAACTGAAATACTGGGCATATGAATGCAGTCGACGCTACCAAACACACAGCTCGTTTTATTTGATACTATAATATTTTAAAATAAATAGAAATAACGTCGGTCGAATGAATTATTTTCCTTCTCAAATTAAGTGCTTTTCACTCCTAACCGCCGAGCTGAAGTCGCCGGAAGTGCTGGGAAAGTTTGCTTAGGCCAATGCTATCAGTTGTTGGACCCTTACAGTGTGCCTGCTCAGCAACCACTGCACAGATACACTTGTATGTATTATACATTCGACTGTTTAAAAATATGAAACCTAGTGCATTCATGACGTGATATATTTCTTTTGGAGTATCCATTTCACATGCCTGTGTTACTATGCATTTTCCTTTTTAACCAAGTGTTACATTTTATTAGTGCTATCGGCGATGTTTAAGTGACAGAGTAAAGGAAAATATGTTTTGAATTTAAATTAAGATTAGATTCCCAGCTATAGAGAGGCCTACAAATCTCTCCTAGATACCATGTACATTGACAATGCATTTCAATTCCATTCAGCAATAAAAATACAGCCGTCATTGCACAGTTATGTAACAGGGAACAGTTGAGGCAGGAAAATAAAAAGAAAATACAAGCAGGCAGTTTAGAAAAGTTTACACGTAGCAAAGTGGCTCAGATTATATTGTACCTACCCATTTGACAAGCCTCTGTATCTCCCCCCTCAACACCCCCCAAACACTAGGCCATTCCCAAACCTTCGCTCGGCCAACGCTGTTCGGGACGTAAACGAAACAACAAGAGGAACATTGATCATAAAACTGAAATATGTCCAACCTTTTGAGGAGAAGTTCTGGGTGGAGGGTGGGTGGGGGTAGAATTTGCCTTAAATGTTTACTACTCGAGCAAGGTCGAGCACAAGGCAGGCAACAGACAATGAGAGAGCGAGTCCGCGACGTATCGAACCGCTGCTGCAAGCTCAATTAATGCAGACCTTTTTTTTAATATATCCTGAGGAGTGGGAAATTTCATCTCTGAGGTTGCATTACTTATGGATTATTCTGGCTCGGGAAGTTCAAACGCAGCTTTGAATAAGCTTCGATCTACTGAATTTATTTGCTGCTAAGTGGAACTAGCAGATGTTTATGACACATGTCCCAGTTTCTCAAATGGCTCTGCAAATGACATTTTTTTCTTTCGGAACGTAGGCCTGAAAATTTGCTTTCATTAATTCTAAGCGTCGAAAATGTTTGGATTGTTTTTGTTTTAAAAACATGAAAACCGAATAGGTTAGGAAGTACGTAGACACTTGGAGTAATAATGTAGAACGTGATTATTATATTTTTGATTGTGGATCCTAACAAAACAAAAACAGCACAAAATAGACAACGCTCTTCTTAATAATTCTTTGCCATCTGTAAAAGCTTTCACTGAAATTGACTTAACCTTAAAATAGTGTCCACTGAGAGCTAAACGTCACGCTTTCCAACAACGTTTAACTGCAGCTGAAGGGAGAAACCTAGTGACTTTTAATTTCAGTCGAAATTGAATCAGAGCAGATTTATTATCTGTAACCAGAAGACTGTGTACAGCTAAAACATTATGCATTATTTATTACCCAGAGCAATTCAAAGTTCTCAGAGCTGTGTGGTTTCCCTAAATGCTGCAACAAAAAAATCGGCTATTTTCCAAGCCACATAAACCCTTGGCTCGCTGTGTATTTGTCCCACTGGTAATAGACCGAAAACAGATTTTATTAACGAAAATGCATTTAGAAGCAGGTAACAGAATGATCCTTCGAAAGTACTGACCTGTGTGAGTTCTTTTGTGGATCTTGAGATTTTCTGATCTGGCAAAGACTTTGCCACAGCCAGGGAATGGACAGGGGAATGGTTTCTCGCCAGTGTGGACTCTGATGTGATTTACAAGTTTATATTTGGCTTTGAAAGGCTTTCCCTCTCGTGGACACTCTTCCCAGAAACAGATATGATTCGACTGTTCTGGTCCCCCAACGTGTTCCACTGTTACGTGAGTAACCAGTTCGTGCATCGTACTAAAAGTTTTTGAGCATGGCTTTTTAGTGACAGGGTCCGGTTCAGTCCACTTGCAGATCAGTTCCTGCTTGATGGGTTGCCTCATATAGCGAAAAAAAGCACCTGGACCGTGGTGGCCAGTTATGTTCATGTTAATATTCATGCCACCGTAGCCATGTAGAGGGGAAGAGGCAAAAGGATCACTCCTGGAACTTGCCACTTGACTGTAGTGCTCAGACCTGGCGTACATATCTCCAGGTAGCCCCAGTCTTAACTGTCCGTTCAGATGGTGTCCAGCTGGGACTGCAAGGGGAGGCTGGTCATGCAGTCCAGGGAATAGAGAGTGGTTCCCAGTCTCGGGGTGACCATGGTGTCCAGGGTAACTACCTGTTGTTGATACAAACATTCCGTGGTGAGAACTTGTGCCGGGATATTGATCAGTGAGCCCTGGCATTACTGAGGATGTCAAATCCCTGCGGATGAGGAAATCTCTACCTGCCGAGATAGTCTGGGCAGTGTAGCTGGCGTGGGAATGCGAAACCGAGTACCTGACTGCTGTTGCCGCCTGCGCTGGGCCAAACGCTGCCGTGGGATTGGAGACAACTTCAGCGTGGCCTGCCATATGATGGTGATGATGATGGAGGTGATGGTGGTGGGGATGGGTTGGGCTGAGTTTAAGTGCAGCGGCGGCTGCAGGGTGCCCCATGTGTTCAGGCCCGAAAGGACTCGGCCCCAGACGGGGTTCTCCAGTATTCTCCCCAGGGTGCGTGTGTGCCATTGAGTGGGGATGACCGCTGAGCCCCGGGAAACCTGTCATATTCTGAGGGGGATGGTGATGATGATGGTTGTGAGCTCCTGCCAGATCTACTAATCTCAGCGCTGGGTTTCGTTTGGCGAATGATGATGGGTCCATCATCTGACTCCCCAATGCATCCATGCTCATAATGCCTAACAGCGGGAAAATAAAAAAAAACGTTTCTTTTAAAGTTACCGAACTTTAGAAACTCGTTCTTTGCCAACGTGGAAAGCCATTCGGTGTGGAGGGTGCAGCGCGATTGCAGCAGCAGGACGCTTTGAGAAACTGAATTGAGATTCTTGAACAGCTTTGCTCCGACGAGCTCCGCGAACAACACGCAATCCCATTGGTCAGTCTCCGATGATTGACAGTCTCACTTACTTACCCCAGTCAGGGCACATGCGTGTTATAACAAGCCTCTGCTTTTGGAGATGAGGGGGTGGGGGGATGGAGCTGGGTGCGGGTAAGGGATGTTGAGGGGGGTGTTTGGGTAGAATGTGAAAAAGTACTTTTCCTTTGGCTTGTTCTTTTTGTTTTGCTGGTTTGCAACATGCTCATTTTTATTAGGAAAACCGTTTCTGCTGGACCTCTCCCCACCAACCCCCCCAACTCGCGCCCCCCTACCCCCACACCCCCCAACTCGCTTTCTGCAGCTGAAGCTCACTTTTGCCTCAAACAACGGCAAATTTAAAACAAAAAATCTTTACAAGTTGGCGCGGGCTGTATTTATAGCTGGGGGGAAATCCCGCAAAAAGTGAATAATTGGCGTGCCCCCTCCTCTGCACTGTACACTTCGTCACGTTGTAATTCATTCCGGGAGGGGTGTGTTTATTTGTAAGGAGGGAGCGGGGGTGAGTAAACGGTGAATTTGGGCAGGATTGAATGGTTTGTGGGGCTGTGTTGGGGGGGGGCGGCGGTGGGTTAATTATTAAGTAATGTGTAAATACATATGAAAGTTCCTTGAAATTATGAAATTAAATTCGAGCCGTTGTTTATTGGAGCAAAGACCCACTCTTCTTTTTACAAAAAAGAGAAAATTTGGAATAGTCGATCTGCACACAGAGTACGGAGGAAAGTGTACGCACTCAAGGAGAGTTTGTAAAACAAATGTTCACCAGATCCGCCTTCCACGAGCAGTTGCAAAGCGTAAAAAAGTTTATTTTGCAGGCGAGCCGATCAAACACCAGCTACTTTTAACAAAATCTAGCCCCCAATAGTTCCTGCGACTCATCCAGGGTTTTTTCTCTCTCTCTCTCTCTGTCGTGTGCGGGCAAGAAGCGCTGAATTGAAAATGAGGTTATGGCCTGTTATGCTCAGGCGGGAAATTAGTGATTTTTATCTTTCCGACACTAGCCGAATTCCAGTCGTGTTATTTTCTTGACACAAAAAGAAAATCAGACGGGCTGGTTGTTCTTAGCGGCGCTGACGATCAAAGAGATCCCCAGTCAGTGGCATCTATGAACTTTCTTTCTCTCAAAATCGCCAGCAACCCCAACCCCACCCCCCCCAACCCCGATCCGAGACTTTGTTCAGCATGTACGATTTTAGTGAGTTCTGTCTGCCGTTAGCCATTCCCTGAGACAGAATCCAGAGAAGTTTTGGTTGTCGTTGAGGGTTTGGGGAGGGGGTGGGTGTATAGTTTTATTTTCTAAGGCGTTGGTAAGTTTTTCTTTGGGTTTCCAATACTGTGTTTCGACAATTTGTCAAAAAGATTTCAATTATAGCCTGCATTACATGGATACAGCCGTGGTCTTTTTTTCGCTGTAATTTTGTTTCCAGTTGCAAGCCTGTGTGTGAAGGGGAGGGGAGGGAGGGGGGAATTTAGACTGCGTTCCGAGAATCTACAAACAGCGTGTAATCTGCGAATAGGCAACTTGCACTGTAAGGAGAGTAAAGACCAAACTGTAGTGTACTACCGAGAGGTACAGAGAGAGAGAGAGGGAGAGAGCGAGCCATGACAGATTGTCAGTTGTTGCCTTCTGTCTACGTAAACACGATTGAGACGCTTTTAAGACCGAGCTGCGTTCCTTATATCAGTCTGACTTTTTCATGTTTCTTCTAGCACCGGAACGTAACGCTAGCCACAATCCCACCCCCTACCCCACATCTATGTCCGCAACTGTAACTTGTCTTCAGTACATTACGCCCGTTTAAGTCGTCCTGAGTGCATACGTCTGTCCAACCATCTCGCCAAACACGTACAAAAAAGATAGTTTAGTTCTTTTCCGGGTGACAAAACGGGCTGCTAACTCAAATACGTAATATTGCAGCCCATTAGGTTTTGCTACAAGGGTGCTACAGGGACGCGGAAACCCGGTGCTGCGCTTTTCCGTGGATTTAGGCCGTCCTTGTAAACTGATCAACGGCAGGGGCTTGAAGCTTTCGCCTCTAGCGCTACAATACGAGAGAGAGAGAGAGAGAAAAAGGTAGGTTTTTGAAAGGGAGGTGGGAGTAATAGCGGGGACAGAAATTTATATGGTGGGGGGATGGTGGGTGTGGGGTGAGCCGGGGAGGGGGAGGGAGAGGCGTGAGAGAGGGGGAGAAATAGCTAATTTAAGCTTGGAGGAAATAAGCAGAAAGACGTAAGGAATTCCAATACGTTCAGAGTCAGGCTAACACTCGAAACTAGAAAGGAAAATGCTTTTTTTTAAGAAAGTATGATCAAATGGGAACAGGTGGGGGAGGGGTAGGGGCACGGCGGTGGGAAAAATCACACAGTTGTTCAAAACAATTCTCTGCCGTCATAGCAAGTGTGCTTAATACAATGAAGGGCTCGCTGCAATTGTAAACATTAACCCCCTCCACCCCCCCTCAAAAACATAGATTACCAGAAGGCAAGCCACTCAGATGATGCAAAAATGTAACTAACTGCTGAGTAATAATTTCAAATATGGATATCTGAGGCTTTAGGATGTTGAATGAAGTTTAACTGAGATTTGGACTAAAGTTGCATTAATATTTGCATAACTTCGTATATCTTTCCCACACCTCGCAGTGTCACAATTGCTGACATTTTCTCTTTCGGTTCATTGCTACATTAGTTGTCTCAGGCCATCACTCGAAATCCCAAAGTGAATTAATAATCAGCACAATTTTGAATCCCCCGCCCAACCCCTTCACCAAAAGCATATACGTGTAACAGAGAAGGATCTGCGATTGTTGATACGTTTGTATTTCAGCCTCCAGGGCTTCATGCTGCAAGTTTAAACTGGGCTTCGTACATGTGCTGCTGCATACCTGTTCAGGGCCCCACCTTGCTTTTCAGTTTATCCGTTGTCTACCGAGCAATTTCTCAGTCGCAACCGGAGGGCCCTAGAAAAGAACACAGTGCTTATGCACGCTGTGATATATACATGTCTTCCAAAACCAAAATATAGTGTAGTAGAAATTCTCAAGCGAACGTACTATAAAATATCCAAGTGCCATCGTGTGATTGAGAGCAATAGTGTTATACCGTGCGAGTATACATTTGTTACACAGAATGTTACACGGATCTCTGATTTTTCTTATCTTACTTAATATTATTCAAAAAACTGGATAAGGATTAGACTAGTGCTGCATAAGGATTAGATTAGTAAATTTTCATTACAGCAAGCTTTTGAGAAGAAAATCTTATGCTCGAAATAACTTGGGAGACCGCTACTTATTCTTCACTGCAGCTAGATGGAGAGTTGAAGTGAAGAATGTACACCGCGCCATAATGTACACATCCATCTATAAACATACAGTTTACGGTTTACCTCTTCATTTTACATCATTGATCTTTCTAGCCCATTGTTTAATTTATTTGCAAATACTGCAAACATTCAAGAAGTATAGAAAATCGTCTTTTTTTCCTCTCGGAAGTATGATTTACAGTCTACCCCAAACAACATTTTCAGACATTAGCCCGATGTTACCACTTTTGTCATCGACAGGATATTTCACTCTGTGATTAAGATGTCACAAAATAACACGAGGCAGACGTTATGCTCTTATGGCGGGCAGTTCACAGCTTCCTGTACCCCATTATAAACAGGAAATTATTGCAGAATTCCAAGTTTGAAGACTGCAGGATCAGCACCAAAGAAATCCAACAGAGATCCTAAGGAACTTTGATTAAACCCTAGTGTAAAGTGAAGCCCAGTGGGATAAAAATAAAAACATTAGAAATGCAACAAATAAGAGTGGTATCTGCTCTTGGTTAAATTGGAATTGAGCACTGGAATTTCAAATTAATTTTTAAAAAGCTACTTGCGGAAAATGCGTTAAGATAAAGCAGTTTAAGGGAAACCCTCTCTTTTCCCGAAGCTCAACGCTGGCATCGTTTTAATGCAATATTTTTATAAGCTCTTTTTAATCACAAACTCGATTTGAAAAAAAATGCTAGAAGCTTAGTAATTTAGAATCCCAAGATTCCATGCGTTATATTTGTACCTTTCAACCCACCCATTAAACGTTTGGCGTAATGAGCAAAGAAATACTTCGTTTTTATTACAGATTAGTTTGGCTTGGTTGCATGTGTGGGGGTTTGTGCATGTCTGCATTTTAAGTCAGAAGGTTTAATCTGAGAATCCACCTACTCCTATAGACAACAGATACAGTGACCCAGCTACATTTCTGGGGAAGGGTAATGATTTCCCCACTAAATAATTGAAAAAAAAAGCAAAAAATAGACGGACATGAAACCTGCTGAATAGAATGGGCTAGTTTATCTAAATGCCAGGAATAACTCCACACACAAAAGCTGTGAGTGACTTACGATAGCAACCATATAAGCATACTGCTAGAATTCGGCGCATTTCTGGCTTCATCGATATGAATTTTGTAAATACCTAGTTAAAATTGGCAAAGTCGTGCGGTGTGTCATTGTGAGAAATATGCGAACAATTCCTATGAAGAAACAATGATAAAGCAAAGATACTATCAAGGTTAAGGAACTGTAGTAACCGTATACTACTGAATGCTAAGCTGCGGTTAATGAGTATTATTTACATGATCCAAGTTAAAGTACTGACAGCAGGATTACATTTTATATTTGATATATTTTCTTTAAAATATACTTGCCCTGCATAGGAAGCTGCAAGGAGACCTCTCCCCACCTCTACCCCACTTACTCGCGATGTTAATTTTCATGTACCAGCAACTGTTATACTGTTGGCAGGTTA